TTGGACCCCCTAGCAGCTTGTTATGGTACTGCAGCTGAACTTCCGGTTTTGATATCTCATGATCTAGACATGCTATGGTGATGAAATTTAGGTGGTAGGTAGCTCTTGTGCTGGGGAAGAAGTGACGTGAGTTTAGGCCCCCTAGCGGCTTGCTCTGGAACTGCAGGGATAAATTCTTGAAAATATTCAAAAGGGGATAACTCAAGAACCGGTTGACGGATCGTCGTGATTTTTGGCATGTAGGTAGCTTACGTGATGCTTAATATAATTATGTGACAATTATGCAAATATTGATGTAATTTGCATAATTTATGGAGAAATTCTATAAATCAGTTGCATTCAATAATAGGACAATTAAAGCTTGTGACATTGGTAATTGACAACGAGAGAAACACAGGAAGATATTGATTATGTTAATAATGACTTAATTTGCATAATTAACGAGAAAATTTTATAATTATGTAATGATAACTGCCTGGAATTCATACTTTTGGTATTTGAAAGTTAAATTGAGGTGAACATCATTAAACATAATTTATTCAAATCAGGACCTCATTTGCATAATTTATTAGGAAATGCTAGAATGCATTGTTTGTTAATATAAGACTGTTTTTGGTTGGGATTATTATAAAATGATATAATTCATGAAAATTAGGTTCCTATTTCTTAAATCAGGGGGGAATAATCTAATCTATGATTTGTCAGTCATAAAGATTAACATCATTTGGCGAAGGTATGAGATCGGGGAACTCTAGTTTTAAATCATTGTAGTGTTGTCCTTCCTTTAAAACGTTTTGTCATTTGTATAAAACATACTTAGTTCATGAAAGCTCGAGTCGGCATGCAAGCCGCCTTTCCTTGAACTCATGAGGGAAAAGGTAACGGTCAGACAAAATATATCAACAAGATCTGAAGTTTTGAGTATATAAGTTCTTTGTGCTTTAGCGGGCGCTCGAGTATCTAATTCAGGAACAGAAATGTACATAGACAGAGTAGAAATGTCGCATTACGTGCTGAGGTTAACAACCTGACAACCTCAGAAGCCGGAAGAACATAAAAGTGAGGGATGAACAGATCACCGGGTATCATTTTTAGACTGAAGTACGGATTAATGAACGAACCAACTGACGGACAAAGATAAATTTTGAGGTGGATGCAATCGGGAGAAGATAGGGCAGAATCTGTATGGAGAAACATCAGTCGGATCTTGAGTAGTAAGGAGGGATCACGGTGACGAACAGGTTGATGGGTCAGGTGTGAGCTTCTGTGACTTTTATAACGACTAGGAGAAACGGAAGAAGCGAGACGGACAAAAGCAGAAAGAAATGTCAAACTTAAAATGTAAACGAAGAGAGGACAAGTACGTGGCCCTGA